AGTGAGACCTATATTTTTTAAAGTTGTCATAAAAATAATAGTTTAACAAAATACTTTTGTTTTTTACCATGACACCTAATTTTGTGCTTTCAATAGCTTAAACAGGTCATCTAAGTAATTTTTAAAGTTGACTAATTTGACGTATGATTAAGTAAATAGTTATAAAAACAGGACGGCATCAAACCCTTTAGCTTTCTTATAAATAAAAAAAAAAACAATGATGTAAAAATATTTATTTCAGTGAAAATTGAAACATAAATGAAACAACTTTTAAACGGTTTCATCACGTTTGTATTTTGTTTAATTGACGTCCGGGCGTCTTCTACAGATTCCGTGTTCAAAAAATAACAATCAAGTTCAATTTGAAACAAAATAATTTTAAGCGTTTTCTTATTAAATAATTCATTGTTTTGTACTCCAAGTTAAAGTAAATACAGAAGCTGATAGTCCATAATAGAGAGACAACATAAACTTTTAAACTAAGGTATGCAAACAAATATATTACGCTTTTATTAGTAATTGCTTTAGATATAAACATTCGTATTATCTATTACAGAGTAGCTCCGATAAGCGCCGCGGCTCACTATCGTTGTTGTTTCGCAAGGGTCGGGCACGGGATGGGTGACCAAAAAAAATATAATCTCGAGCAATTCCGTCCTTCGGAAGGCACGTTATGCCGATGTTCCCTGGCTTCATTTGCAGTTGTTAATACCCTCCAATCCGCATTGGGCCAGTGTTGAGGGTTATATGGCCCACCCTCCTTCACTTCATCCATAAGGAAGGCCTGGGCCCCTACAGCGGGAACGTATAAAGGCTCATGATAATGAAAATTGCATCGTAACAAAATTATATATACTGATCAGTGATTAAACTGTTTCAGGGCAAAATTCTGAAATGTGTATGTTAATATGGATATGACCTCGATGTTCAGCCTTTGTTAAAATTAATTTAAAAAAAACTGTATAATTAGATTACCACTAAAAATTAATAAATAAAAATGTAAGTTTAATAAATTTACTATCAATAAATTATTTTAAGATACTCCAGTTCCATAATAAGACAACATGTCCTAAATACCATTCTTTGCTGATAAATAATAATGATCCTTATAGCAATACACATTAAGACGATAAAATTTTACTATAACACAATCGATGTACAGTCGAATGCATCATTTAGTAGATTCGTTAACTATACACTTTTCTCGAGTATGTACATTTTACTAATAAATCAATTGACATATATTAGGCCTATTGAAATCTATACTTTATGCTATTGATATAACGTATAAATTCGTATATACGAGATCCAATTAATCTTTACTTATGATCTGTACTATCGTTTTAATGATTTTATTGCCCTTTTCGTAATGCAATAAGTTCAAACTAGGGTCGTTAATTTTCTCCTCTAGTAGATTTATCAATTCCACTCTTATGGTCTTCAGCATTTCAGCAACCTGAAAATTAATGTGAATACAGATTTAAGTGAAGGTAACGGCCATGATTGATGTATCGTAATAAAGGACAGGCGTCAGGACGATAATAGTGACTTAATATTATTAACAGTGGTCGGAATTAGGTAGAGTTATTCATGTACTTACACTGATTTCATACAGCTAAAGAATAAAGTGGATATGCCTCAAATCCCGAGATTAATTTTAAAGAGCAGAAAAATCCCTTGATTTTTTAAATAAAAAGTTATTTACTTTTACACAATTTAAACTACTGCACGCACGACGTTGCCAAACTTACATCAATGAAAGAAAGAAATAAAGAAATCCCGGGAAGGTCCACATTAATATCAACATTTCGATGCAAGTACATAAATAACACTACCTTAAAAAATGAATTTAATCACTAAATTTAGTATTTAAATAATGTGAAATGCATAATTAGTAAATATCTTATTATAATATTAATAAAATAAAATAGACACAGTGGAACAATAAGTTTTTTTAATTTCACCATTAATTTTTAATTCTACTTAAAACGAAATGAAGGTTAAAATTGAATGTCACATTGTGTACAGGAAATGTCTCACCTCATGTTTCTCCACTTGAAACATAATCCAACCGTCTTCTAAAGATACCGTGAAAGTACCGTTATGAAGTTCTACAGATAGATTACAACCTGGAACAAGTTTTACGCAATGTCAAGCTTATATTCATTTTAAGTACGTTATAAAGAATACATCTGGACAACGGATCTTTGTGTCTTATTGTTGGTGTCGCATTTTATTTCATAGATTAGACTGAAACAGATGTATTTCTTGCAACATTTTCAATTGAAATTTTCATTAGTTTAAATTTATTAACAGCCAGTTGCAATATCTATAATGCTTGGTTTAAACGTAATTAAGAAGATAATATTAATTAACTACTTATGAGCTGAATTACAATTATACATTTTGCAACTGGTCGTAAATGTATGAAACTGATATTGATATGTGAAACATCACTACACCACATACAATATCTATCCACTAACATAATAATAAAAAAGGTCACCTATTTTATAACTAATGTTTACATAAATTTCACATAAAACGCTAGTTGCGCAATATAACTTATATATCTTACATTATTGTCATCATTGCTTCTTCCAGTATAGGTTGCCTGGAAGAAATCGCTGTTAAGCGATAAGGCCGCCTATTGTGCAAAAGTTTTAATGTTTGTAAATTACTCTTTATTTATTTCTGTTGTGTGTTATACAATAAAGTGTTTTTATCTTATCTTATCTTATCTTATCTTATCTTATCTTATCTTATCTTATCTTATCTTATCTTATCTTATCTTATCTTATCTTATCTTATCTTATCTTATCTTATCTTATCTTATCTTATCTTATCTTATCTTATCTTATCTTATCTTATCTTATCTTATCTTATCTTATCTTATCTTATCTGATCTCATCTGATCTCATCTCATCTCATCTCATCTCATCTTATCTTATCTTATCTTATCTTATCTACTTGCTGTATAAGACAAGATCAAAAGACAAGTCAAATATCTTATATTGAAAAGAATTCTCGATATACTCGTAGTTCACTTACCGGAAAACAATACTAATGGCAATTGAGGCACCATAGAACACTCCCTTATGAAGACCCTAGAAGTTTTGACCTTCTCCTGGTACACTAAGTAGGGGCTGGCGAAATATCCCACTGTAGAGTTGATAGATGATGGATGTAAAGCGACAAATCCATCAGACTTCGTCTTGTACTTCAACTCATCTGGAGCGGGTTGACGCGGGATAGCCCCACCTGCTTGCATGTGGAACGATTTCTCTGGTGTTAATACCTGCATGGGGATTTCTAATTATTACAAACAAGCTTTCCGACAGCGGTTTCGCGTGATCTTGTATTATACATAAAAATCCTTTTGAATCACCCTATCTATGAAAAAAAACCGCATCAAAATCCGTTGCGTAGTTTTGAAGATTTAAGCATACATAGGGATATAAGGACAGAAAGAGCGACTTTGTTTTATACTATATAGTGATTTAAAAAAATGTTACTAAACGCCGGTCGCTGAACAGAAAGAATTTCGTATAATGACCCGCCATTATACATCTCTTTTACTCGTGCGTAAACATATAACTGTTTCACACACACAGACGCCTCAACAGGGATGATGATGAAATAATATGTGTTACGTATTTTTATGCTTCATTTTAACAAGTAGCTTATATAGGCGTTAAAGTTAACGAGTGGGGGGTTTGCCACGTCACTATTATGTAGAAAATGTACAAAGGCGTGACGTCATGTACGTATAATTTAAATTAATATGTGACAAAATAATCAGTCCTGTTAAAATACAATCATCATCATCTACCCTTTTACATCCCCACTGCAGGGGCTCGGGCCTTCTTTATGGATGCTTAAGAGGGATGGGCCATGAGCCTCTACGCTGACCCAATGCGGATTGGAGGGTATTAACGCCTGCAAATGTAGCCGGGACCAACGGCTTAACGTGCCTTTCGAAACTTGGAGTAGCTCGAGATAATAATTTTATGGTCACCCATCCCGTCACCGACCCTTACGAAATTTGCTTAACAAAAACGATCGCAAGCCGCGGAGCTTATCTACTACGACACCAAGCTACTCTACTAGCAACTATATGTTCACTAAACAAATTAATCTCCGTTGCTTTAATAATATTGTATTGTTTTTACCTTGACAACATTTGGATAGAGGGCGGCACAGAGAATCGCCGCCAGAAGTCTATCATTGTTACCATTCACATTCAACTGTGAAAACAAAACACACGGAATCTATTATCAAATTAATAAGACCTCGTTTTCTTTCCCAGAACATGTGCGTTTGTGTACATTACGTTAACAGACGAAAAAATTTAAATACTAGCTGTGTTTTTTCAACCGCGTATAATGAAGCTACTCGTAGGTGAAATAATCTTTAAAATCGATCCAGTACTTTCGATAGCCTATTCGGTGCAAACAAACAATAAGGATGCAAACTCTCGTTTAATATTTCGCAACGGCTCTCCAAGCTATTGCGTCTAATGATTACCTTACACAATTCCAATTAAAACCAAATTAACGACATCATTAATTCAATTTCTGTCATTAAAAAGTCCCGATCACAATCACAATTACACAGCTATATGACAGCTGTAATGTCAAGTGTCGTGAATATCTTTGAAATTGCGAATTATAAGGGTATTTTCAAATTATTTTACCAAAACTCAAGTAATAGACAATACAGAAAATTTTAATCTCTGCATTGGACCAACCGGGTATCAAATCAGAGATGGCGCTATCTTAAAACCTGCGTGTGAACCCGTTAGCCACGGAGATGTCATATTTAAATATAGACGCTGAAAGCAAACACGTAGTAACCCGCAAAATTGTTCTTAGGAGCAAAAAACTTTCATTTTTTTTTTAATAATTCTTATAAACGTCCATGGTAATAAATAAGGTTTTTCTAAGTTAATTTATATGGAAATAAGATATATAAATTTTTGTTTTTAAATATGAAGATTTTGTACTGTACATATCTATTTTGAAACATGATATAATAGAACGAAACTTTTCAAAAACTTTAAACGAAAAATCTATTTACCTCTTCCCCCGTAAGGTTTTCTACAGAATCCTTTCTCATTTTCCTTCTCAGCGCGGGCATATCCGGTACGAAACCGATAGACGCCAGCAAACCCAACAACTGATGTTTGATATCGGCTAACATCAACATTGTTTTGTGCGACAAAAAGTTTTCATTTGCGAATACTAAAGCTGCATGAGTACTATGCTTCATGGCATGTTGCCATTTCTAAAAAAAAAAGGATAATAATAAATGGTCTTATTAGACAGTATTTTTTTCTAATACAATTATTATCACACGTATTGTATTAAACGATACTTTCAACTATTTCTTCAGATATAAACAAAGCTCGGTCTTATTTTATTAAAGTAATCAAAGTCATGTCCACATTAACATATACGTTTAATGATCTCGGCAGTCACTATTTCTTCTCGTATACGAAATAGTAAATACTGGTTAATTTACTCCACTTACTGAGTTTTTTATCTACTTATAAAAGGTTACAGGATTTTGATTGCTTCTGGAAATACCACTGAGTAAAACCTTTAACAATATGTATGTGTATAAAATTCTTTACAGCTGAATAAATTTATAATTTTATTTCACTTCAAAAGCAGTGAGAAATACCGATTAATTACATTGGTAAAATTTTATTATTTTATCAAGGAATTATTGATTACCCTTAAACACTTACCCTATAAGCTCTAAGTGTGGTCAATTGATCACTGTTGGACCATGCGAATTCTCTTCTCTTGGCGTCTGCTTCGGACTATAAATAAGCATTAAAAATTAACAAACATAAAACAGAAATCCAAAGTTTTTTTTTTTTTACATACAAAGAGTATCGATTTTATAAAAAATGTATACTGCGACTATACTATCTTGTAATTTAGCAAAATAAACCCCTACATGGCGCCTTGAATTATACACATGAACTTCAATATAAGTTATAAAGAAACAGTAAATGTAACTTACCTTCTTACCGAAGGGTGCGACAAACGGACTTTTGTGACTCAAACATGCTGCCATTGTTAAAGCGGAGTCTACACAACAGAATATAGCTCCGAATAACATTAGCTTCCCTATCCGCACGTCTACAGGCAACTCGGCTAAGTGCTTTCCGAGCGCGGTAAGTGAGAAGTATTTGTCTAAAGCCCCAACGTCTTGTAAGCGGGATAGAGCACCGTCTATATTTGTCTTAGTAGGCGGTTCGACAGTTTTGCCTGGTGAGAATGTACAGAAATTCTTTAAAAGTTTACTAACTTTATCCAGTTTCAACAACGGCCCCGTTAAGGACGGACGTCTGGACCAGACCAAACATGGTGTAAGTTAAATAGAAAATAGTTGAAGTTGTATTTGTACGTAAAATTAAATCATACCGTGTAAAATTAATACAATTAAATGTTATTATGAGGTGATGTTTTAATTTCCTAGTACCCTATGATATACTAACAAAGGGTGAAAGGCTCTCTTTAAGGTATTGCCTCGCTACAGGGATCTGATAGGGTTCTCTCTATGGTATTGCCTCGCTAGCAGATATTTGCCTACCCTACAAATTACTAATGAAGTGAGTAGTGCGAGTCTAAACGAGTTCTTCCATCTCGCTCTAACCACGCGTCTTGCAAGATTGCGGCACACCTTAATATGAGAACGAACTACCTAGGTGTCGTCTTGCGCGATAGAATTAGTATTACACAGGAATGTATTTTAAAGTAATGATGTTATAATGTAAATAAGTTAAGATTGAAAAATGTTTGTTAGATACTCATAGATGTTAAGAGTGGGGGGAGCTTCGCAAAGTGGGAGAACAATGTATAATTTGATTATGAACCGCTTATGTTAGTAGCTAACCACCCCAAATGATTCGTAAAAAGGGCCAGCTGAACGATATTTTGTGACCTCAGTATAAGAATAAAGAAGAAGTTTTATAACAGTCCAGCAACGGCTAGCTACGTCTTATTCTGCTCAAGATCAGGAAGATCCGCAACAGGTCCTTTAACTGTTTTTCCTAAGATCCTATGAACTTGGGTTCTATGACCAATGGTCTTATGATCCACGGTCTTAATAATTGTACTCAGTACAATGTTTTATTACCAGTATAGGCTTGTGTTCTAAAAATGTAAATACAGGTTTCTATTATATATAAAATCTTGTAAATATATAACGAAATAGGAAAATATAAACTATTTGCTCTTGTAAATATTAAAAAAAAAATAAAACAACAATTTGAGAAATATTACACTTTGAAAACTTGAAAAATATAGGGAAAATATCATACATGGCTTTAAATGTTAATATCATGAAGTAAATATACATTAAGATCATATGAAAAAATATAAGCTATGTAGTAAACTGATATTATCATACTCGATCGCGACTTTTAAAGATATTGGATGAACGTATAACTGTAATTGGAACTGTCCAAAGCAAGAGTTAGACGAAAATATCGTCGAGAGCTATTTAGAAATGTGAAACGAAAGTGTTGCATGCTACCGGCAGTCTTTCAACGGGTACAGGTAAGTTATTATTATTATAATTTAAACCATCGTTCGTCCCTAAAGCGTTTGCGACATTGTAAAAACGTTATTCCATAAATAATGTTATTTTTGAAAGCGATTGCAATAGGTCTTTAAAAAAAACACTCACCTAAAACTTCATGAACACTCATATCTTGGAACAGCGGCAGTATTTTTATCTTCAACACAAGTTGTTCTAGCGGTATCCTATGGATTTCGGGCACAGGTTGTTCTAATATATGATAGTTGTATCTGTGCGAGGTGTAAAGGTGAACGCACACTCCGGGCATCACGCGGCCGGCGCGACCGCGACGTTGCTTGGCGTTCGCGCGCGATACCCACACTAGATCTAGAGATTCCATGTTACGGTTCGAGTCGAATCTGATTTGAAATTTAAACAAATATTGTATGAAAAGGTGCTATATCATATTTATTTAAAAAAAAACAAACAGTTCAAAAAATCGTGATAAAGAGAAACGACTGAAAAGAGAGTATAATACCACATTTTTTTTTGCAATTAAAAGTATCATTGCGATTCGACGTCTAGTTTGCGAGATATCCATGGACAAACATACAGACATACATGTATAAAATTATTCACACGTGTTTCAAAGAATATTACGCGATTCCAACGAAATTACATAAATCGCATTATAACCTTTCCTCATCCTTTTTTGAACTCGGATAAATTTTTTCAGTCCCGTTAACATTTATTGTAGTTTGATTGCGGATCTAAAGCACTACTCAAAGTATGTTTAAATAAAAAAGAAATGGTTTAGTAAGAGTTGGACCTTAGCAAGAAGAGTTCCGCACCTGTCTATAAAAAAAATGCAAAAAAACACGTTTGTGTTGTGGGAGCCTCCTTAATATTTATTTTACTCTGTTTTTAGTATTTATTGTTAGAAATACACCATCTGTGAAAATTTCAACTGTCTAGCTCATACGGTTCGTCATATACAGACGGACGGACTACGAAGTGTTAGTAATAGGGTTCCGTTTTTACGCTTTGGGTATATATAGTACCCTAAAAATTAATTTACTAGAAAAAGACAAATGGTCTTACCTCTTTTCTTTCATTCGTCCACAGTCTATGACAAAGACGCAATCGTCTATGGTGACCGATGTTTCAGCTATGTTTGTGGAGAGGACTATCTTTCGAGCGCCGGGTTTTGGTTTTTTAAAGACTACAGCTTGTTCTTCACTGGATAACGTAGAATGAAGCGGTACGAGGACGTATTTTCCCGTTCTGAAATATGTAAGAATTTAAGAGATATAAAGCACCAACGTCTAAATTTTAAAAACATTTTTATTCTTAATGAAAAATGCTTAAAAAATTCCACTTTGTCCTTAATCCTGGCACTCTGAGATGGAACTCGAACCCATGATCTTTCGCAATGCTTTGAATTACCCTCTTTTTAGCTATAAATTCACAAATATTATATTCCTACTATGCTCACTGTCACTTTACTCTTTGTCCGCTGCTCTGATGTTTGACGTTTATAAAAATCTATGTAATACATGTGCGAATGCTGCAATCTGGCGTCAGAAAGTTACAATAATACATTACCATCAGCCCCTTGTCGTCCCTACTGCAGGGACTCAACCCTTTCCTTATGGGTGGTTTAGGAGGATGGGTCATGACCTTCCACGCTGGCCCAATGCGGTATTAGCGAGTGCAAATGCAGTCGGGGACCAACGGCTTAACGTGCCTTCCGAAGCTTTGAGTAGCTCGAGATAGTAATTTTTTGGTCACCCATCCCGTGACCGTCCCTTGTGAATGTTGCTTAGCAATAACGTTCTCTCACTCTTACCAAAAAGGCAAGGCTTGGAGTAGTGATAAGTCTTACTGAAAAGGCTAAACATCAGATAGGTGACAACGAAATGATAAGCCGAATAATTCGGCCGAATATCCGGTGTGGTACACGTTAAACCGAATAGTATTCAGTATTCAGTTATTCGGTAAAACCACTATTCAGCGCTGCACTATTGATTAGAGATGTCTTGGCATATAATAATATTATACTTTATATTGTTTTAAGAAAAGAGTATGTCAATTAAGAGAGTCCTATCAAGACAGCTATATTTTCTTTGGACCTTTTTTTTAGTCATCAATGACAATTGAATTATCACTTTGGACTGTATTTCTCAGATGTATACTTACTTAGGACTAAACGTGTGACTTTCAGCTAACTGATCGTGTAGGCTCATGATTTCGGCAATACCGGGAAGAAATATCAAAATGGCGCCTTCTCTTGGCCATTTGTGATCACCGTCTACAATGTAATTCAAAACGTGTTCTACCAAATCCAAGTTTATCTGAAAATCAAAAATCACCATTCGAAATACGTACACATACACAGTATCGCCTCAGGGACTAAAGAAAAGTTTTGCAGTCCATTTTGGACTTTAAATGGAACACATTAAAGTTTACATCAATTAGCATAAATTTTGGATAAACTATTGATTGTATAAAACCTTTTAAATTAACAATACATACGGTCAGTTGATAAGGTTTAATGACGCCTTTTAGCTCTAACGAATGTCAAAATTGTATGGAAAATGTCACTTTAACTAATGAACATTTTAACGGACGTTTGTGCAACTCGCTGATATCCAAATTATTTGTGACATTTGCTACTCCTAAAATTTGTTTTACTAGCTGCTGATGCAGACTTTGTATTAGAAATCTTAGTTCCTCATATAAGCAGGTAAGCAATTAGATAATTTTACAGACAAATTTTGGACAGGTCTAGAAAAACGAACCTAGATTCAAACATGGGGATACAAATCAAATCAAATCAAATAACTACACTACAAACCTTTTCAGAATCCATGAGATACATGTTCTTGCACGTGGTTTTACTGCACCTGGGATATCGGGCGAGCATTTGTGCTATAGTCAAGTTATCGTCTCGTATCGACTGTTTGGGTGGCTCATTAGAATCGGCTCTAACGTCTGCTGTCTCTAATTCAGTTTCTATATCTGACTTTTTCTCTCCTAACCATTTAAAAACAGAAAAAATATAATTAGGACTTACATAATTATTTCATACTAGCTGATCTGGCGTACTCCGCTCTCTTTTGCACCATATTGGACTTAGTATTATAGACTAAGCAGAAGAGCTAAGATTGTAGTTGTCCTTGATTAGGAAGTGAAAGAAGCGGCCTTCTAAAGGTAAAGTCTCTTTACTATCTAGCGCGGAAACTGAGCACAGCATAATGATTTGACGTTTAATGACGGTGCTATACTGGTCCTATAATGTGCGTGCATCAGCAGAGAGAGATATATAGGTTATAGAAATCTCTCTCTTTCTAGCAACCTTGATTTTTCATTTTTGTTTTTTCTTTTACAGGAAAAGTGTATTTTGTTCTATTTTCTTTTAATTTTTTCCCTGTAAAATTCCATTTTCTTGGACTCCAACGAATATAAAAAAAAAACAGATTCGCACTAAACAACACGTTTAACGATTAATTTTTAATTATATATTACGTTTATATAACAGGTTTTAATATATTATGAAGTCGAATAATCTTTGATTAATTAAGCATAAACTAAATAAATACCTTTCTTAACTTTACGTGCGTAAGGTCCATTTTCTTCTAGTACATAATTAGTGAGCTCCATGATATCTTCCAAGAAAAACTGTTCCACAGGGAATGTTCGTCCTAAAATATGAAATTATTGACAACTTTATAGCTACCAAATAAGGTTTTATTTATCATCATTTTCGTATAGTTAAATCTTTTAAAAACACATTATAAAAATATTTTGTAAAACTCTTCTCAAACTTTGATGCTATCCGCCGGTTTCTGAATACTGGTGTTGACAGTAAAAGAAAATAATTACATATTATTTTTTCTGGTAGTGTTTAATATACTATTACCGATAATCACACTTTGTTGTGTGATTCAACGAATTAGATGTTATATAAAAAGTTAAAAATATGCATTTCGTAAAATTAACCCACCTGGAATTTCCAAAACAGGTATATTATTGAAATAATCAGAAAACAGTTCAGCATTCAATGTCGCACTCATCAATATGACAGTAAGATCTTTCCTGACTTTCACAAGATCCCTAAGGATCAGTAATAGGAAGTCACTCTCTTCAGAACGCTCGTGCACCTCATCCACCACAACATGGGTGACCGACTTCAACTGAGGATCATACTCAAGTCTCCGTAGAAGAATACCAGTGGTACAGAATGTTAACCGAGTTTTTGACGATACTTTGCTTTCTAATCTTATCTGAAAACATAGTATATATATAAAAATTAGATCTCTATTAATAAGTACATATATCATTTATTGTTTATAGTACATATCATTTCTATTATCATTTATAGTACATATATCAAAATATTTTTAAACAACGCATACTCAAGATAATCTTACAATTTTCGATGGCTTAAATTTCTATAAGAGCCCTTTCACGTTTATTCTTATTTATTCAATATTTTGTGTAAAAAGTTAAGTCATTTTTATAATTACTTAATTTTACCAAAACAGTGACATTTTATAATTTTTGTACATATTTCAATTTTCACACAATTAAGTATTGTATAGAAAAATAGACAATATTTCAACTTTTAGAAATCAATTTCGAAGTGTATATTTCAAAATTTTGATTTTTTTGCCTGATATCCTTTAATAATAAGAGTAGTGTAGTGGATAAGCGCCGCGGCCCGCGATTGTTGTTGTTAAACAACTTTCGTCAAGGATCGGTCGCGAGATAGGTGACCAAAAATTATTATCTCGAACTACGCCGTGCTTTGAAAGACACGTTAAGCCGTTAAGCGACTGACCTATTTCAGGAAATTATAAAATGTATATTTTAATATGGATATGACCTCAGTATTTAGGCTTTATAAAAGTTTAATTAAAAAACTGTAATACTAAATTAACACTGTAAATGGATAAATAAACATGTATGTATAATTTAGTATGTGCTTGCTTGCATGATGATATGCCTTGGAGTCAATATATGTACTAAAATACGTACCTAACAACAATTGACTCATAAATTACCTGATAACCAACAACTTGTCCAGTCTTTTCGACTCTCTCTTCCGCAACCCTATCAGCCACTCCAATAGCTGATATTCTTCTAGGCTGAGTACACACTATCTCGACATGCTCCTTTCCACCTTCATTGAAATTTTCTAACCAATTATCTAAGATGTACTGAGGAACCTGAGTACTTTTACCACAGCCTGTTTCTCCACTTATTACAATAACCTGTGAATGAATTTTTGAATAAAATTCAAAGAAACAATCCCTACAAATACGTATCACGACAAATACTATTCGGATTGCTTCAGTCACGAATTAGTTTTTGTTACTGTCATAGACTATTTGCTACTACTGTCAAATACTTGTCATTTCATGGATTGTCAAGGACTTGCTTATAAGGTTGGGCTACATATCGTATTTTTCTGTATCCTATCCTTTTCTCTAGATAAGAAAACCATTTGCTAGAGCGAGAAAGATAGCAGGTGTGCTGTAGCAAGTCACGGAATCCTCAAGATAATATACAACATACTATCTTTCTCACTCTTAACAAATTTAAAGGTTCTGAGGGATGGAAAAGGATAGGCTGACTAGCTTAACCCTTACAATGTCCATATGGATTGCATTTTGTAATTACACTCACCTGTGATCTCTTCATAGCATTCAAAATATCACTACGTTTCTGCCATGCCGGTAACTTTCTTCTAGTATTCATCATTCTTTTGTATCTATCATTGGATGGTTTTTCTTGCCACCTTTTTGCTATTTCCTTGTTTTCCCTTATTATTTCATCCATATTTATATTATTTCTCATATTCCTATTTTCACTTTTTTTATAATGAGAAGGTAACTTTTCTTTAATTAAACTAGTCTCCTCTCTTAACTGCGGAAACAACGGTTCAGATGCATCAGGAAAAGTCCTAGTATCAAATTGTATAAAATTCTTTATTTCATCTTCATTATTAAGTAATTCAACTAATGAATATATACATGGTATACCATCTTGAGCGAACACCTTAGCTTCATCCAAAAGTTTAGCTGTTACTTTTAAAAATACAGCTTCAGGTATAATTGTTGTCGGAGTTACTGCTTTGAAAAATATTAAAGGTGGTTGATATGGGTACCATGAGTCTTCTGAAAATCTTATTTCTAATTCATAATTAACTATTGTATTTTCTGTAGTATCTGTTATATTTGAAATGCTCTCTCCAACTTTATTTTCATGCAAAAATTTACATTTAGCACCAAATCTACAAGGACCTTTTAAATATAATTTACACACTTCTTTCTGTTTACTTTTTAAGTTATTATTATAGTTGATATTTTTTTTCGTTTTTGATATATCAAGATCTTTATTTTCATACATTTTTGTTATATAATCTAACTTCAATTGAACAGTCCAAACATTATTGTCTTTCATTTTGAAGCTTGTATCATAAATTGATTCTAATACTGCTTTTTCGTCCGTTCTCATTTCTAACAGTTCATTTTGACTTGGTATATCATTGGGTCTCTCTTGTGCTTCAATTTTAAAATATTTAATAAATAATATTTCTAAAGCTTTCTCTACACTTTCAGCTGCTACTTCTAAAGCTTCAGCACAGTGAGGTTTGTGAAAATTATATCTAAAATCAATTAGAGCAGAAATTTCAAAACCTATCTTTTTATAATAAAATAAAACAAGTTTATTTTTACCCACATAATAAAAGCAAAATAAAATGAATACTTAGATGCAATATAACATTAAAGACAAAAATATCATAGAGGAAACAAAAGTAAACAATAATATAATTTTAGAAGATAATTATTTAATTTACTCACTTCTCTAGTTTAGCTAAGGCGAATGCTCTTAATCGTGCTTCTGAAGATTCCATATCCGGTTTTATTGATAAGGAATAGTCACAACCTCCTTGAACAATGAGGTTACCTCTTTCCATCCAGTATCTATTACTGAGATTTGAGCCTTTATCCTAGAAAATATAGTAAATATTAATGAACAATGTGTAAATTAATTAAAAAAAAAAATTTTTTTGTTTAATTATTTGTAATAATATAGAAACTAAAACCATGCCTCTTAGCACTTTATGTTCTATGTACTTACCGCACAAGGTATTTGGTATGAAGATATAGAATATAAAATAGTCTTATTTAATAACTATAAAAATGAAAATGAAACTTAATTAAGAGCATTAGAAAATAAGTTTTGTTAATTTTACAATATTAAGTGTTATGTAATTAACTATATTACAACAACATAATTTTTAAATTAAATTGACTGTTATAAAAACTCTGGTTAAATTTACAGGAATAAAATTAAAGCTGAAGTTAACGGGATACTTCATATATTTAATAAAATTAACATATATAGGGTTTAAAATTGTTATGTATTAATTTGTATATACCTTATAAAGACTAGCACTACCCAATTTAAAATCTGGTCCATGTATAAACCTTAAAGTATCCAGAACCAACTTTTGAGAGTCAGGATTGAGACGAACAGTTTGCATCTCAACCTTAAGATTAGGATGTGGATCTTCCTTGGGTTCATCTTTAGGCTTCCTGATATTAAAAATTATTAATTTATGAAAAATATTACACAAATAGGACACAACAATGTTTCAAACAATGGTGCAACTAACCTAATCCTGGCATCCACTGGTTCTCTCAAAAAGAAATCTTCAGCTAACTGCCTGCTCTGATAATCCATTTTTATTATTAGTTTAATTTAGATTATAAAAACTTTCGCTAATTTTAATGATTTTAATAACATACACGTACAAAACTAAACGAAGGTGAACTAAAATGTCAACGTCAATGTCACGTCACTGTCAGTGTCAACAGTAATGTTCATGTCCCGTCATTCCTTCATCGCGTTATTTTTTTAGATAAACTAATAAATCATACAGCCTTAAAATATTTTTATATATCCATTGTGTTTAAAAGCATGTCAGTTGATTTGTCTTTACATGAGAATATTTGAAGCATCATGATTTTATTGGTACATTTACTCGTCACTTTACACTAGCAATCTTCTTATTTACATATTCAAGAATCGAGACCTTCTGTAATAACCAGCAAACCTTGTTTTTATTAGACTTAGGTATTTTTTATAAATGTATAGGTAACTGCTTAGTGTCGTCCCCACAACTTCATTTTGTATTCTGCACCACGTCGCTGACTGATAAATCGTAACTAAAGAGCAATGCTGCACTTTGACGACCTATAAGAATTACGTTTAGAATATTAATTGATGCTCCATTGGTATTTATTGTAATAGGTATCGGCCGTTCAGAAGGCGCCACTGCGAAATCTACTCCTCGTAAATATTAACATGACACTTAAAGGTCTATTCTATTTTTCAGAAAACGAAATGTCGTCTATTTCTGAAATGTTAATACGACATTGACGTAACACATTTTCCATGGCAACAGATATAGAATCTGACACTGATCCTGATGCACACACAGATAATCTTCATGGATATGATTTTTACTAAAACTATAAAAAATATACGAAATTTTCCGAATTTTCGTTCGAGGATAAATAGAATGTTATCATGTTCAATGTGCGACATAAGTATCATGAGCTTTAGGTAAACATAGTTTTAAGGCTTCCGTAGACAAAGGGTAAAATAGGACCCTATTACTAAAACTTCACTGTCCGTCCGTCTGTCCCCAGGACGTCTCATAAGCCATGATAATGAGACAGTTCAAATTTTCACAGCTGATCTAATTTTTTTTTTTATTTGCTATAGTCAATAGTCTTTATTTCATATTTTGCGAATTTCGACCTAAACGCCTTTTCAATGACAGGCGAACTCTTTTGATTTTGAGATGTTACCATAACTTTCGTCGATATAGTGACACGGATACCTATTAATTATAACGTAACTTTTCTTCATCTTATTTTCTGTCTACATCATAAAGCAGATGCTTCAGTATCTTCAGTACCGAACAAAGATCCAAATAACCATTAGAGTTCTTTTTTGTTTCTGAAATAGAGCTAAAGCTAACAGGGACAGTCGGTACGGAAAGTAAACTACGCCAACTTTCACTACCCTGCCCTTCTTAATATTATCGAAAAGTTACGGATTTGATTGCAGTGTGGAATTTAGCTAGATGGTTAATTTACTAAGCATATAAACCTTGATAAATACATACTACTCACGAATAATCTCGCATTTGATTAAGTGATTGAAAAAATATCATAAATAATGAATAAAAAATATTATTAATCTAGGATACAAAATAAATAAAATATTACAATGACCTGGACGGACAACCTTACTTGTCTAGACTTCCACCTTTTAAATACTCAAAAGGAAATTTAATATTTATCGAACACGGTTATAGATTGCAAGTCGTGTTAGTAATCTGTACAGAATATTAACTAACATCAAAAGATCGTGATGGAAAATTGCCAAGGATATAGAATTGACGGATCATCCTGTATGCATACTTCCTACAAGTTCTTACATTAAAAAGGTAAATACATGTTTATTTGAATCCAATACGAATTGGGATTATGTTTTGATCAAGTTTGGAGGTATCTTCTTTTTTCCATCAGCATTTATTTATCCATTGATTGAGATATGCTTACCCAAGCTCCAGCATGATCTGCAATTTGTCTCACGCAACCAAGATTTGCCGGCTGTGTACGTAGAACCATTTTTTGAAGTTTGGAGACGGAGTAACTGAAATCTGGAGCAGAATAAATATATCTGGATATATTTTTAGCCATCCAAAATGTATCTCAAATGCCGAATTCATATGCAAAGTCGGAAGCAAAAGTTATTCACATTTGCTACGAGACCCCAAAATCCTGTGCTGATACATTGTTACTGAAAAAAGGTAAATGCTCTAAAATTTGAGAAGTACGATAGGAAGTGTGAAGCGTACTTATTACAAAAAAAGGTAGACTTACAGTGTAGATTGTTATGTCTTACGATTGCAGATGCAACCCAGGCTAACGAATCAACGTAAACACCAAAAAATATGGTTTACTACCCTACGGCTGAAGTTCATTTGATCGTCATGAAACAAAAAGGTGGATTCTTTGCAATAATATTAGGTCCTTACATATGAAATTGGTGTTTGGTATGGGAGGAACAAAAAGTCGAATATTTTTTAATATAATATATTTATTTAATCAAAGCATAAACTATTGTTATTAAGTATAAACCCCTTACTAAAAAAACATTCGGACGGGAATCAATAACATCTTTGAAGGCGATTTGCGCTGCCCTATCGGAGTTGAATTTTTTCCCTTGCAAGAAGTTATCCAAATTTCGAAAAAAAAAGGTAATCTGTTGGAGCAAGGTCCGGGGAGTACGGTGGATGTCTTAGATATTCAAATTGAAGCTCTTCTAATTTGGTAGCCGTCTGTTGTGCAGTGAGTGGTCTAGCGTTGTCGTGAAGTAGCAGTGGCGTAGAGCGATTGACCAGCCACGGTTGTTTAACAGCTAGTTTTTCCAGCATGGTTTGCAATTGTTAACAATAGAGTCCGCCGTAATCGTCTGGTCAGATTTGAGAAAACTGTAATAAACTACACCGGCACTAGTCCACCAAACATTTACAATTAACTTTCTTGGGGTCAATTTTCGCTTGGGGCAGAATTTGGCTGGCATACCAGGATCCAACCATTGCTATGAACGCTTCCGATTATCGTAAAGAATCCACTTTTCATCACAGGTAATGATTCGACTTAAAAACCCTTCATTGTTATGCCGGTTAAGTAATGTAACGCAGCAGTCGAAGCGCGTTTGCCGGTTTGCTTCACTCAATTCGTGAAGTACCCACCTTTCAAGTATTTTAATCTTTCCAATTTGCTTCAAATCAATTAAAACAGGTTTTATCACTAACACCGCAGCCTGCAGCTAACTCGGACGTGGATAGCGATGCATCCGCTTACACAATAGTGTTCAATTCTTCAGTATTAAATTGGGTCTCCGGCCGTCCACGGGGCTTGTTCTGCAGGTCGAAATTTCCAGAACGAAAACGTTGGAACCAAAATCGCACTGTGTTTTCTTTTGCGACAAAACCGCTATACATATCATTACGTTTCCGCAGCACTGGTACCACGGTGGAACTCGTACTCGTGAATAACACGATATTTCAAGTTTTCCATTTTTTATTCTAGGTGACGTAAATAGGACAAACAGAAGAAAAAAATCAAATGAATGCTGCCTAACGAAACACAAATACATGTGTAAGTAAGGCTGTATAAATTTGAATTTGGAATTTCCAACCAAGGAGGAGAAATTAACGCCAATTTCATATGTAAGGACCTAATATTATGGGTATGTTCCGATATACACTGCGAGCACTGCGCAGTGGTCTTACTGCTGAAAAATCCGTTCCGTTATGGACTGCCAGTACACTGCTACAGTACCCTAGGGCAGGGGTCGGCAACCTTTTGAGTCAAAAGAGCCAAAAGTTACAATTTACAACATTTTTAAGGAGCCACAAAATGTTTTTATGCCTACAATAAATAAGTAATGTAGTCCTATTCTTACTGACATCGACTTACTGCGCAGGACTTTGCTTATTGTGACCAACTAGGTTTCGCATTCTTAGAGTCCACTCTCTCTTCCTTCCACTCTCTATATCCGATGGGACGGTTGACCGACACGACCGGTGAGAGTTACAAAGTTACAACACTAATTTGTACTTCAATAGCCTCGTCCAGACTGAGTGTAAAGCGGGTACAAGCAAAGACTATGTGGCTGAGAGATAGAAGTGGTGCCGAATCTTTGTTAATCGATTCAGAAAGTTTTAAAATGATTTTTTTTATATAAAATAAATAATATTTGTGTTCGGAACTAAAGAGCCGCAGCTTCCCAGCCAAAGAGCCGCATGTGGCTCGCGAGCCGCAGGTTGCCGACCCCTGCCCTAGGGAAATTTATGACGTCATAAATTGCCACCATATTTGTACTGTGAGCACTGGAGATTTCGAGGTAAGGTGCTCGCAGTGCTTTTGATCACGTGATCAGTCGAAAAAGAATCAGAAAATGATAAGTTTCTAAATAAACAAAAAAAAAATACTTACGTTTATTTATGAGATAGATTTAATTGATAAATAATTTTTTTATACAATTTTCTTTTGAAAAGAGGGAATCTTTATATTTATATTCACCTTGCATTAACAAATTTGAAAATGGCGCCAAAAAATAAGATTAACAGTATACTGGACTGCGTTTCGTTTTAAAAAGTCACCAGTATAACTAGCTATAAAGGAACGGGCTTCCAGTATACTAAATTGACGTCATACTGTTCAGTGGTCGCAGTGTATATCGGAACATACCCTATGACAGTGACTATTACTTTAAATGTCAGATATCTCAGAGAATTGACAATACGATATAATTGACTAATTGAATAATATCTAAAGCTTCTAAACTCCGTTAGGAAAATCACCCTTAGCGATACGGTCCCACAAAACCGGTAGACCATTTCTTGCCCGATCGTCCCTTTCCGAATCGCGCAGCTCCAGACAGTAAATTTTCAGAAACGTCATTTTTTATTTAAATTTTCAGAATTATCGTCCTATTCCGACAGAATTATGTATATTTTTTCTTCAAAAGCAAAATAACAATTACCGGTCTGAACCAGTTATATAGTAGTACTAAAACTATAACATTTACATTAACACAGTTTTATTACTTTAGTAAATACAAGATTGACCGTACGAGTTCTTTTATTAGTATGCACGAAAGAGCGTTTTTATTGTGTTATATGTATAATTAAGGTTAACACGATTTACACTTGTCAATTGCCCGTCGTGAAAATCTAGATGGTCAGTTTTACCTTGTCGCGATAAGTTATCGGAAGGTATAAAGTCCAT